CTGTGATGCTCACCTTCTCTGACACATTCGCTGAAGACCCAAAACAAAACAAATCAAATTGGTGTGAATGAGGGAGAGGGCCGACTGGAGACCCAAAGTCCATCAGCAGTCAACATATGTACAGATGTGATTGACACAGTGGATATGTGAATGGGTTGTGAAAGAGCTGTATGAGCCCAGAGTAAAGTGATTTTTTTTTAAATGGACCATGTAATATGTGTCTTTTTGTTTCTGGTTTCTTCATTCCCTCAATATTATAGAGAGATTAACCGATAGGGTTTCATGTAGAACTGGTTTGTCCTTTTTCATTTTTGTTTAGTTTTATATTGTATGACTATATATACTTTTCTTATTTGTTCTACTCTTTATGGAAATCCTCATGATTTCAGGGTTCAGATATTAGAAATAAAGCACCTATGGAAATTAATTGTACATTTTTTATTGCAGATATGTACAAGAATGTATTTCTGAAAGTATAGGCACAGAGTGGAATTGTTGGAGTCTATGAAGGTTTGGTGTCTCTTGTTGGTGCTGATGGTTAGCTTGCTTGGCTGTTGACTGAAAGTTTGAGTCTAACCAAGGCACCTTAAAAGAAAGACCTGGCAATTGACCTCCAGAGAGTCAGTCATCCACATTCCTAGGGAGATCGTTCTATTCTAACACATGTGGGGTCTCTGAGTCAGAATCAATTGGTTTGATGGGGATAAGTAAGCTGGTTTAATAGTAAAACATTTTTCCAAAGTAGTCATACCAATTTGATTTTCCATCAGCATTGTAAGAGAATATTCTGCTCATTTTTGGGTCCTGTATCTCTCTTCAATTTTAGAATGTCAGGATGTTTCCTGTTCGTTTTTGAGGATATTCTGCTCACTTTTGAGTCCATATGTCTCAAAGTTTAGAATGTCAAGATGTCCATTCTAGTTCCTTTGGGTTAGGAAGCCAGTATGGTCGCAGGCAACTTACTAATAAATAATGCATGCTCAGACAATTCAGTGCCATTTACAAAGCACTTGCTAGATTACACAATGCATAGATATCTACAATTACTCAGAAAAGTAGATATTATGATTCATATTTTATAGAGCAGGACAGTAGAGAGGATGTTGACTAATTGTAAGTATTTAATGACAAAATCAAGTCCACGATTGAGCAGCTTGGAACATGTAGATGAGCTTGTTTGACAAAATACTAAGTACGTTGGTACTTTTAGCCGATGGCACTCATTAGCACTTCACAAGATTCAGTGTATATTGATGGAAAGTTTGAGCAAAGGATTAAAATTTATTTAAGTTCTCCTTTTATTCTGTAGTGCTTTAATAAGTAGTAGCTTAGAACTTGTGAATGAAGCTCTGGTGGCCTGGTGGTTATACAATGGTCTGCTAACTGAAAAGTGAGCAGTGTGAAACCAGCAGCCACTCTGTGGTAAAACGACACGGGACTTGCTACACCTGCAAACAGTCCAGAAACTCACAGGAGCAGTTCTATGCTCTCCTATGGGGCACTGTGAGTTGACATCAACGCAATGACAGTGAGGTTTTGTATTTTTCAGAAGTTATGAGGTTATATACTTCACTCATTAATTTTGATTGGAAAAATATTTTGTGTCCATATCTATTAAACACCTTCACTTTAGAGAAAAGAGTAAATTAAGTTTAATGTTATAAATGCAGTGTAATAACCCTTTCTAAAGGTTTTACACTAGCTTTGCAGAATAATATTTATGCAGTCCTGTGAAGAATATAAACAATCGATTTCTTTCATTTCTTAAACAAACATGAATTTCACCTCCTCAGTGCTAGATAAGGTATGTTACCATTTTCAGAACTTCTAAAGGGAAAGCCAAAAAAGTGCCTTGATTAAGAATGAGGTCCTTTGCCAAGGGTTCTGAGTGGTGCAAACACCCTAAGCTCCAAAACCATTGACTTGCTTCCAACTCGCAGTGACCCTCGATCGGATTTCCCAGAATCAATTTTAGCAAAAGCAGACAGCCTCATCTGTCTCCCTCAGAGTGACCGATTAGCTTGAATCCCCAACCTTGCAGTACACAGTCCAGTGCTTATTCTACAGCTCCAATAGGGCTAGTTGATGCCACAGATCATGTAGGCACCAAGGAACAAGAAATGCATAAAGTTGACCCAAATTTAAATTAATGTGAAAATCTGAAAACGAAGCATTCAGTGATCCAAAGTATATTTTCAATAATGTTAAAAAATCAATTTATATACAAGCCTTCATTATAAATTTAAAAAATAATAAATAGCTATTCAAAATATAAACTAAAACCAAACTAATTATTTGTGTAAATAAAAGTTCTAAACCCATATTCAGGTTTTCCTTTGATTTATGTGATGGGTGTTCTCTCTATATAATTTTATTGGGAGTACTTTCATTCAAAATGATTTATCAGTGAAAGAAATCAATGGGAATTTCATTTTAGGAAAGTTTTATTTTTATAAATAGACAGACAAATATGTAAAATGGGGTTTCAACACTTAAACAGCTATTTGGTAGTAAAGAGTCTCTCCAAGTTCAAGAATAATATATATGTGTGTGCATACAAATTCAAGTTGTAGACTTCAAACATGTCTAGATGATGGATTGTGCTAACACATATTAAGTTTAATTAATGATTGAAGCATCCTATAAAGTAAGGTCTGAATTTTCAGCTGATTTCAAGAAACAAAATGTCACACGTAAACCAATAACTCAATGAGAGCTCAAGAAATGTAGCCGTTATTGCAAATATGTCAAGTAGCTTTTATTGAATTTGTACTGTTTTCTGCAAAGGCAACTTAAAAGTGCATCTATTTTTGGAATAGCTATCATAGAGCAATTTTATTGTCAGTGAATGGTACTACTACTCTGGGCACAGCTTGACGGAAGAGTGAAAAATCAGAGAAGAAAGTGCAAGATTCAGATACTGAAGAATTTGGAGATGAAAGTGACAAACATTAAAAGAAGAAGAGCATTTTGCAATAGCAATTCATTATATAAAAGCATCAGGCTTAAAAGCATGTATGCTTTGTTTGGCGGTGTCATAAAAATTTTATCCAAACACCAGACTCTCGGAAAACAAAGCAGTATTTGTCATTGAGTGAAACCACCGGAGTGTTGCCTTAGTAGTGTGGACACCACAATGGTTTTCATGTGAATTACAAATAATTTCAATATAATTTTACACAAACTAACACTGATGAGATTTTCATATTCTTAAGAATGATGGCTAATAATAAATATGACTGCAGTAATATTTAAAATGCAGGGAGCATAGGCATTTGTGTGTGTGTTTTTCAAAATATTTTCCTCCTCTGAATAATAGGAGACTCTTGCACAAGGCCAGAATATTAGAAAGGAAAAATATCATAAGTAAGTATGATTTGGTGAACATGTCATAAAGTTTCCTTCCTACTATTAGAGTTTCCATTATTGTTCTGAAGTGTTTTTCTGCAGTTTTCCACTTTGGTAATAGTGTTGGTAAAAACAATCATTGATTTGTTTTGTTTTTAATCCTGTTAAGTTTAAAAAAATGCAATATAAATTGGGGCTTGCTAATATTAAATCTAGGACAAATAAAGGAGAAGCTTTAAATGATTGCTACGCATACTTAGTATGACAAAAATATTCATTTGCTTCAGAATTAATCATCTTGAGGCCTCCTACTGCAAAGAGATAGATGTTTGCCAGTTTACTAATGATCAGTGGAAGAGGGGCCTTAGGCACATCCTGAATGATTGCTCCATCTCCTCTTTGATGATGATAGTAGGACTGTCCTAGATGAACTAGACATTATCACAGAATCAATGAAATCGGTACTATGTTGCTTCCAATCACTGGTGATTGACCTGCCCTCTAGAAACAGAAAACAAATTAGGGCAATTCCTTCCTGCATGAGTTTTATAATGGTTCTTTTCTATGTTCAAATGCTGTCTCACCAGCCTGATAGCTCTCCATTTGGTCAGGTTGCTTCTTAAAAGCATGATATCTAGAATTGCCTCCCCTCTTGCACATATAGTGTTCCTACACATGGCATTAGCTATGATATGCCTGTTAGATGAAGCCTCAATACAAAATAAAAAGAAAAAAGACAGTTTCAATTATACATCACCTTATTTTTAAATTTAATGTGAAAATCGGCCTCAAGGATTTCTGAATGCTCTTACTTACTTTTAAATAATATTTATTTCTCCTTCTAAAGAGATTTACTGATATTTAAGTAACTAAATCAGGTATGTGTTGTGATCACAATTTAGGACTAAAAGTGAAATGTTAATGTGGTAGTTGGATGATATTATGTCCACTGGAGGAACCAAACCTGTCAATCAAGTGATAGCCTGATGACACCTCCTGGCTGTCATGAGCCTTTTGTCTAAGAACAAGACGGAGCTCTGCCTACCTCCATGGCTCCATGGGGGCTGCCTTAGCTGCGAAGCATCCTGCCAGGTTTCAGCTGATCTTGGGCCCAAACAACTCTGCACCTACTCACCTGTGGTCTTTCTGCTTCACTTTTCTGCATCACTGACCTGCAAGTCCATGAGTCTGAAGTGGGGCTGATAGATTAGCATGGGACTGGGTTGAGTTGGACTGGGTTGGGATGCCTTCTTGATATAATTACCGCTGGATATCAATCTGTTTGTTACACATAGACGAGCACCGCTGGATTTGTTTCTCTAGTCAACCCAGCCTAACACAGTTAAACTTCTGAATTTCCATGCAACCGATATTCTATACCATTTTTAGTTAAGTACAGAAATAAAATGGTAAAGAAATTTATAATAAAGTTAACACATATTTATTGGTGAAAACCCAGCAAAGTTCTAGGTAAACCTGAAGATTGACTGTGTATTGTCCAGTAATTAAATTTTATTAATAAGTTGTTAGTTGCTGCCAGTTCATATGAGATAGAAGGTATTTAAAATTTTTAATCTTTTGTTCCATTTGTAACAAGAGAATCTTACAAGTTTAGGACTCAATGTGTTTTCTTATCAATATGCCGTTCTTACCTTGAAACTGAGCATTGAATCCTTTGCGTCGATGGTTACTGTCAGATGTGAAATGGAGTCGTAACCAGTTCTTGCTACTGATAACAGGAGAAGGAAGGTTCATGCCAGTCAGCCTGGAAAAGAGAGAGCAAAAATCTCCCTTGTAAACCAACAGAGCAAAAGTGCTATATCCAACTTAATATTGGACCTTTTTTTGTCAGATGTTTAAAGCACAGGTCACTGATTACTTAGCATTTAAGGCTTAAAATTATTCAAGTATTTCTTTCCACAAAGGATAAATGCCAAGTATATCCATAGCAGAATGAATCCTTTCAGGACAGCTGCCATTGGGGTTTCTCTTTACCAGTGAAAGATGCATGTGAAGGCATGCTTTGATCTCTTGATTTTCATGAAAACTTCCACTTAATACAAATTCATAATCAACCATAAAAAAGAAATATTTAGGCAAAGGATAAAATTATATCTTTGGAGAGTTGAGCTGATAGTAATTCTGGGTAACTTATTAACTTGTGAGACGTCTTCAAATGGGCTCTTGCTTAGTTTTCCTACGTATAATTTGCATAGAAACATGCTTACATTGCAGACTCCACATATAGACATTTCCTGTCAAGATAAAGAGGAGGCATATGCGTGAAATTTATGAAAAGTGCTATCAGAGAGATTTGAAATACGATATAGCTATGTTTTAGTAAAGTAGTACATTAAACACAATTGAGTCTTTGCAAACATAATCAATTCTGGATTTTCTGTGGTTTAAAATTTCAGTACACTTTATCATGGGTGGTTTAGCTGGCAGAAATGCTCAGCTAATTCAGTTTTTACTATGGTGGATGAAAAAGGCGTCTTGATGTTGCAATGGTTACAGCACTTGGCTGCCGGCGGAAATGTTCATTGTTCAACTGCACCAGCTACCCCCTTGGATGAATAAACAATTGCAACCTTGAAAAATCCTAGGACAGTTTTACTCTATCTACAGGGTCACAGTGAATCCCAATTGAATCAACAGCAGAGATTTTGTGCTGAATGAGAGAAAGCTTCTGGCCCACGCAGTTTGTAATTGATGAATAAACTAAAAAACTAATGGTGTGAACCCAACCAGAAGCTCGTAGAAGGAAAGTGTGGCACACTGCTTCTTTCTTTAAGATTACAGTCAAGGGAACCCTACTGAACAGCTCAACCCAGGCATCACTCTGTGTTGGGAGCAGTGGACAGCTCCACCACTAAGCACACACACACACATGTGAATTGAACAGTCAGCATAACTATTACACATAAAAGCGACTTTGCTCACTCTTCAGTTTGAGTCAGTGGTAACAACTGCATGGGATTTGAGCATCTTCAGGAATAGGTTATGGGCTGGATCCACCTTTTACTAGCTGTGGCACCATTGTCAGACTGTCTTTTCTGAAATCTACTTTACCAATACTTCTGGACAAGAAAAGATCACTTACAGTGTTTAAAGAGGACACACACACACACACACACACACACACACACACACACACACACTGTTACATCAAAATGTACTGCTAAAAATTATAGAAACTCTTTTAATACAAAATTTTCAAAATGTGAAGTTATTGCTTCTCAACATATTTTTAATGTATATATAATGTTGAAAGTGGTCTTCCCATCTCTTTAACCTTCCCGGTAACCTCTAAAGAACTCTGCCTTCCAGTGACTCAAATTGTGTTTCTTGTCACTGTTCCTTGTGTGCAGGGGAGGAGAAAGAAAACAAACAAGAAAACACCTGAAGGAGCAAGACCAGGGCTGTAGGAGGAATGGGCAAAGTTTCTCAATGAATTTCTCCTGATACAGCCTTGCTGCCCTCAAAAAATGAGCAGATATATTGTTGTGATGGGGAAAAAGAAATCTTGGCACAATTTTCCTTGGCTTTTCCTTACTAATATAGTTATTAACTTTCTTAAAGCTGCTTCACCATAAGCCCCCATTCTCATCCTGATGCCCACTATCATATCCCCCCAAACAATTTCCATAACCTGATGAGCTGGCCCCTCTACCTTGAATATAACTGGCCAAACGGGTCCCCTCTGAAGTCTCAGCTTTGCTTGCACCTTTTGTTAAGGCCCTCTAATGAATATCCCTAAGATAATTTGTCTCTATCCATCCTCTGAGCGCAGGAAAATAATTTTCAATTTTATTCAGATTGAACCTGTACGTATATGAGCTGGAACTTTCGTAGCAATGCCTTTTTATGTGTGTGTGTGCCACGTTCTATAGCTAATGATATTTTAATGGTTATCTATATGTGGTTACACAATTTCTAAAAATTGTGTGTTGGATGAAGGTTGGCAGAACAAATCAAGCTAAACATTTGTTTCACGTCATTTGTTTCAATCCCCACTGAAATAGTTAACGTTTATTGTGTCAACCTGGCCAATGAACATATATGAGATTAATTGAAGGGCAGAGAGATAAATGGCTCAGCAAACCTTGCCTTTTTTGTCTCTTGCTCTTTGATCACCAGAGCAATGTGCAGCTGCCTTGCTTGTTCTGTGTCTCAGTTTGAAAGCTACACTACCTGTGGGGCAACTAATCCGTGGACTTTGTCGCTGTAATTTGAGGTTCCTTCAAGACCTGCTTCACCACATTATTGGAATACACATCTCTTGAACTGGGGACTGTCGGACCCTGTCATCTGGCTGACTGTTGGTGACCTCCCTTACTGTTTGCGGCCTGTGGCAGGATAGCCTGAATTGCCCTACAGAGGACTACCCAGTGGCCCTCAAGTCTTGAAGGACTGCCAGTATCTCACAGCTGTCTCAAGGGAGTGAGTTGCACTGAGTCATTTGTACTGTTTTATAGATTAATTAACTGCTTATTTCTTATGTTATATATATTATTTATGTTATATATTATGTTATATATTATGTTATATATATTATTTCATATATATGTAATTATTAGCATTCCGGTTTGTTTCTCTAGAGCACCCTGCCTAACATAACCACAGTATAGCGGCTTATACCCCACTCCCTCCCTGTGTTTCCCTTTATGGTCCTTCTTGTATCCCTAATCCTTTTACATCTTAAATTTTGGCCTTGGGCATGTGTTTGCCATTTCATCTCAAAAGATGGATTATTGAAAGTAGTTCTCCCTACTGTTATGGTACACCCTATAGAGCAGTACACCAAACCCACTGTCATACAGTTGATTCCAACTCAGATTGACACTAAATAAGGTTGCTCAACTGACTGTCACAGGGGCTCCTTATTCACCCTGTGTTGTTGTTAGGTGGCTTGAAGGCAGTTCTGACTCATAGTGAACTATGCACAATGGAAGGCCCGGCCCTGTGCCACCCTCATAATAGTTGTTGTTTTTGAGCTCATTGTTGCAGTCACACATTGATGGTCTTCGTGTTGTCATTGCCTTTCTAGTTTACTAGGAATGGTGTCCACCACCACCCCTACCCTCCCAGGGACTGGTCTCTCCTGGTAACTTGTATAAAGTATGAGATGAAGTCTTACCCTTCTTTCTTCTAAGGAATGTCCTAACTCTTCAAAGACAGATTTGTTTGCTCTTTTTGAGAGCATGTAGACCTGCCTATAGATTTTGACTATAAATTGAGCTAAGTGGTAAATTCAGTTAGAGGCCTGATGATGTTTAAAGGTATTGGGAGTCTCACCAGTCTCTATCCAAACAGTTAGCCTGTTCTATTTTTTAAAAATAATTTTGAGGTTTCATTCACATTTTTCACCCACTAAATATTCAGGATCTATTAATGTTATCCTTTATAGAGTGTTAAGCAGTGGTAACTGGGCACCCTCATTTCTTCTGGCTTTAGGATCATGGAAGCAAAGGTTGGCATTATCTCTCAGTCCATTTGACTAATTATATCTGTGCTTTTTTTTTCTTTACTCTTCTTTGCTCCGATGGGGAATGCCCAATAGTTGCATCTTCGATAGATGCTCACACGATTTTAAGTCCCTCATCACAACTAACCAAAGTAAACTATAGAATATTATTTTTGTGGACTCTGTTAGGTGAATTTGACTTCAATGTTTCCCTCATGGTGTTTGATAATGTCTAAGAAGTTTTCATAGTTTTGTTCCCCAAATTCTCTATTATATTCATAGACATATTTGTGTTACAAGTCACCACATGAGGAGAAATATCCTCTATCTGATCTATGCATATATTAGTGGACATTGTCCCATTTTCCCTGTATCTGTTCAGGTTGCAGATCTATCTACAGTAAATGAATTATTTTGTATTTCAGTTGCCATATCTATTTTCAAAACAAAGCCTATCATAGGGTACACTTGAAGAATTTTAAAAATATCATGGAATGACAGAAGAGCAAACACATGTCTTGGAAGAAGTACAGCCTGAATGCTCCTCAGACGCAAGGATGGTGAGATTTCATTTGACATACTTTGAGCATGGTATTAGGAGAGACCAGCCACTGGAAAGGGACATAAACTAGAGGGGCAGCAAAAAGAGGAAGACCCTGAATGAACTGGATTGATACAGTGGCTGAAATTATAGGCTCAAACTCAGCAATAATGAGGAGGATGGTATAGGCCTTGCCAGCACTTCAATCTTTCTTACATAGGGTTGCTAAGAATAAGAACCAGAATGATGACACCTAAGAACAATAACAACAACAACAACAACAACAACAGTGGTTATAAGGTACTAAGTAAACATCTTTTAAAGAGAAAAGGAGAAATAATGGCAGATAACCTTTTCTTGTTATTTATTCACAATATATGTATATATCGACAATTTTCTATGTTAACCACAGAACGATGGTGAGAACAAGTGATTGGTGCTGACTTGAAGAATATGACTTTAAAAACAGGGGAATGAATGACACTTAAAAGCAGACAGTGGTGGAAAGGCTTCCTAAGAGAAGGTTTGACAAGTTTCATTTCTGGGGAGTTGCAAATAAGGTCAGAAGCCTTCAGTGAGGTTATTGAACTATATGACTAATGGAAATTCTCACTTTTTATGAATGTCAAATGAAGCTGTTTAAACTGCTGGAAAAAGAATTTCTTTCAAAGGGCTCCACAAGGTGTCTCCTCCTCCTTGCTGTAAAAATAATTTAGGTTATGGAACACTTAAAGTTAAGACACCCTCCTGTGAGTGA